GGTATACCCCACCATTAAAAATGTCTGGCGGTGACCATTCCTGATACCTGGTACTATACCCAACATTTTCCAGTAGGTTTCATCGGGTTAACTCACAAGCTGATCTAGCTTAATTTTTAGGCGGGGTATTTGGGGGTGTCTGGCAGGTATACCCCACCATTAAAAATGTCTGGCGGTGACCATTCCTGATACCTGGTACTATGCCCAACATTTTCCAGTAGGTTTCATCGGGTTTCATCAGGTTAACTCACAAGCTGATCTAGCTTAATTTTGGGGTACCGGTTTTTTGCGTCTGGCACCCACCCCCCACCATTGGAAATGTCTGGCATTGTCCATTCGTGATATCTTGAACTATGCCGAATATATTCAGATAGGTTTCATTGGGTTAATTCATAAGTTGATCTAGCTCAATTTTGGGGCCCTTTTTATGCCCCTCCTGACCACACCCACCACAATGGGACCGGCAGATGCCCATTCTCCTACATAGACAGGCACATAGAACATTACTATATACACAAAAATTGGTTAACTTTCCAGCTATGCTGACACCCCTGGGCTCCTGCTCTAACATACACGTTCATGCATAGTGTATCAAAAACTAGGCTAGACATGCTCATATAGAATCGTGCCATAATACGCACAAATTTCAATAATCAATACTAAGCTAGAGTACAGCATTATCTCTAGCACATAAACATATAGACAATTAGTTTTAATAAAACCTATGCAAGTTTTAAACTAACAATTTAACAATATTTACCTTAGAAGATAAGGTACCATACCACCATAACTACAGTTTTAACTAGTTGAACCAAAGATCTTCTATATCTTTGATTCAACTGAAAGCACCCCAAAGAGGGCTCACTTCCAAAAACTCATTAAAGAGGGGGGGGGGGTGTGCGGGGATGAAATTTAATTTCCAATAAAGCTTTTATCTCACCATGACAACATACAACTTTTATTATGTCAACTTGTCAAGATAACCTATCTCGTCATGACAACAAAACATTTTTAGTATGTCGACTTGTCAAGATAATCTATCTCGCCATGTCGATGATACGTATATTATGCCGACTTGACAACATAATTATCTTGACAAGTCGTCAAGTCGAATGGCACTTAGGTGCTTCCGTAAATAATAATAGTAAAATAAGTCGAAGGCATTTTTGAAGAATGAATCTTTCAAAAAGATATGTTTGCTGGTTTGGATAAGGAAGTCTTGGAAGTGGTGATCTTAATAGTGGTGTTAAATAGGTTTGTTTAATACCAACTTGTCTTACCTGTGTAGGCATAGCCTAGCATTTAGTGCAGTACTGTATGTATGTAGAGAATACGGAATACTAACTGCCTGGCGCGACCTAGGCCTAGGCATATACAAACTATAATAATAATGTTTCAAACATTAGACAAACAATCAACACTATTTTAAATAAAGTGCATTAATTTACATGTTAATTATTAGATCCATGGAACTATTCCTATCTAGGACCTACCACTACTACTACTACTACTACAGGCATTACTAAAATGCCAGTTTATTCGTCGTGGAATGTGGATGATGCCTTGAAAGCTAGCTCAAAATTTGCGCGGAAAATGGCTTGGAAAAATGTGCACAGAACTT